ATGTACCATCCTTAACCATAGAAAAGAAATCCACAATACAGTATAAAAACTAACGCAACCCAGATATTGACACATAGTATAAAAACTAACACAATTTAGATATTTACATGCAACTAACATGTACTAACTGCAACAACTATATCTCCACTAGTGGTAGAAAAATATTTAACTAACTGAAGATTAATAAAACTTAATGGCTATGCTATTAAAAATACAGGGATAGGAATGGGAGAATGCAAAAACAAATATTTGAAAACCTAAAACTATAGAAGATGAGAAGGAGATGTGAGACAAAGGACCATATTAGGGTACAGAAGGATATTTACAGAATTAGGTAAAGGTAATAGAAAAAAAAACAAGAAGTAAAAGATATAAGAAACTGCTTCCTACTGGGCTTGGTGGCGCACGCCTGTAATCCCAGCACTTGGGAGGCTGAGGCAGGAGGATCGCTGTGAGTTCGAAGCCATCCTGGGCTACAAAGTGAGCTCAAAGCCAGTCTGAACTGCATAGCGAGACCCTGTCTCAAAAAGACAAAGAAAACAAAAAAAGAAACTGCTTCCTGTGTCATGGTGACCCAAAGTGGCTGTCTAGAAGGAGTCACATCAGAGATACTCGGGGAAGATCAAGTAAAAACCCAGGTGACTGGAAATGGAGGAGAGACTTACACCCTGATAGAGACATTCAATTTGAAAGAAGATACATGTAGATCAAGCCACACATTGGATAGTAGTTAAAAAGAAAGGAAAACAGTCCACCAGGGTCAGTCTGCATAACCCCCATTCCCAACCTTATGCATCCCAGGAATAGCCTTGTTGAGAACTTCCCAAATAGCCAGAAGGAACCAAGGAGCACTGTGGAGACTCATCTCCCAGGACAGACTCGGGGGGGGGGGAGGCCTGTAGGTGCTTTGCCCATAACTGCTCTCCAAACACTGAGGAAGCTGCTTCCTCGCTGGCACTCACCAAGGGCGGGAAAACTCCTCCCCCACCTGCACAATTGTGTGCAACAAAAGGATAAACAACTGTATCTACTCAGCTGCTTCTGACAGCCAGAGTCACCATCTGCATCACATGTAAGTATTAGGCCCAGCTAAGTCCCCACTGAGTGCCCTGGGCACACCCAAGTCACTGCTAGGTGCCTCAAATTGGCTCCATGCCCACGAGGACCTCCAGCTGGCACTCAGCACTGACACTGGACCTGTCTGAGTCTGCGCCTGGCACCCTGATATCACTTGAGTCTTTTCCCAGCACTCACTGTCCTGCACCATCTCTAGACCCATACATTAATATATAATTAAATATAAATAAATACTATTGACTTTAATACTCAAGTGATAATAGAAATTATAATTATTTATAAATACTCAAGCAAGCACCTCTGGATGAGAGATAAGTGCCTATGTAAACATAGGAACTTTAGACTTATTGCCAAATGGCCAGAGTATAGAAAACACAAAAAACAGATGCACTTGATAATGAATGGCTGTGGCTCTGCCTCATATAAATTTTTATAATTCAATATATCGTGTGTTGTAGCAATATAGTACAAGCAGATTACATGGACAAGAATTGCTCATTTAAGGAGAGCTCTATTGGTAGATATGAGAGACTGAGTGCAGCGGTCCTACAGGAAATGGCGTCAAAAGAAATTCAGGCTGGGCCAGGCGTGGTGGTGCACACCTGTAATTCCAGCACTCAGGAAGTTGAGGTAGGAGGATCGTGGTGACTTTGAGGCCAGCCTGGTCTACATAGTGAGTTCAAGGCCAGCTTGAACTACATAGTGAGACTCTGTCTCAAAAAGACAAAAAGAAAAAGAAATTCAAGCTGGAATTTGGAGTTTGTAGAGTTATAACGATGTTGCAAAAGATGACTTGACTGTATTTGAATAAATGTAGATTTTGGTACATGAATAAATGTAGATTGGTGGACATGAATGCTATGGCTTGTATCTAGATGTCCCCCTAAAGCCTTATGAGGTCATAGGTGGGGATTTTTCAGAGGGGGCTGGCTCTGAGTGTGTGACTCTGGAATTGATTCATGGTGCAATACTTGGATCAAAAATGGGGATTAAAGTTGTGAGTGCTACTACCTGTCCCAAGTAGCCTGGATGAAACAGAAGGGATAGAAAGAGCTGTGGTCTTGCCTGTTCGGTTTGCTACCTTCTGCCTGCCATGAACTGTTTCTCTTCTTTGATACCTGTCTGTGAGCTAAATAAGCCTTTCCCCCTTTAACTTTGGGTGTTGGGTATTTTCTCTCAGCAATGAGAAAAGTTACTAAGACAATGAATAAATATAGATTATTATACATGAAAAAATAAGACATCTCATGAAAATAGGCCCTATTGCATCTTCTGGAGCAAAATTTAATGTAAGTCTTGGTCTTAATTTCAGGGAAATACAGAAGACCCAAAAAACTTCACAAAAAACCTCTAGAATTATAAACCAAATTCAGTAGCATAGCAGTATACAAAGTCAAAAGTCGAGGCCAGGGATATACCTCAGTGGCATAAGCGCCTGCCTGGCAAGCACAAGGTCCTGAGTTCAATTCCCAAAACCAAAAAAAAAAGTCAAAAGTCAACCTCATTCCTGCACACCAAGAAAAAACTCACCAAAAAAGAAATAAGAGAAATAATACCTTTCACAATAGCATCAAGAAAAATTAAATACTTAGGAATTAACCTAACCAAGGATGTGCAGAGGTACAAGACCTCTACAACAAAAACTACAGTACTCTGAAAAAGGAGATAGATGAGGACATCAGAAAATGGAAAGATGCCCCATGTTCCTGGAAAGGGAGAACCAATATAGTCGAAATGGCCACACTTCCAAAACTGATATACAAATTTAATGCAACCTCAATCAAAATACCAACAACATTCCTGGTAGAACTAGAAAAAGTCCTAAAATCCATTTGGAACCAGAAGAGACCCAGGATAGCAAAAGCAATCCTGGCTAAAAAGAGCAAAGCAGGGGGCATCACAGTCCCAGACTTGAGGTTATATTACGAAGGTACAGTTATAAAAACACCATAAAGGCTATACTTTCAGGGATCATTTCTATAGTGTATTACTAGAGAAGCTTCTCTGGTCATGTAAAAACAGCATAGTGCTGACACAAAAACAGACATATGGATCAGTAAAACAGAGTAGAGCATGCAGAAACAACCTTGGGTACATTCAGCAGTCTAATCTTTGACAAAGGGGCTGAAAACATATGCTAAAAGGAAGATAGCCTCTTTATCAAATGGTGCTAGGAAAACTGGCTGTATACATATAGAAGACTGAATCTAGACCCATATCTCTTACCATGTAATAAAATTAAAAGAAAGTGAATCAAAGATGTAAGTATTAAAACAGAAACAATCTGCTGGAATGGAAGATAAAATAGGTAAAACTCTTGAAGACATAGGCATAACCAAGGACTTTCTGAACCGAGCCCCAACTGCACAAGAAATAACAATAATCAACAAATGGGATTATATCAATTTAACGTGTTTCTGCATGGGAAATGAAACAACTAAGAGAGTGAAGAGACAACAATGGGAAAAATGTTGCCAGCTACTCCTCAGACAAAGGACTATTATTTAGTATATATAAAGAACTCAAAAAAACTTCACACACATGCACACATGCATGTGCACACACACACACAAACTACAAAAAAAAAAATTTAGACCCCCAAAGTGAAAGACTGAATTAGAAAATGGGCAACTGAAATAGACACTTCTCAGAATGGCCAATAAATACATGAAAAATGTTCAACATTATTGGCCATTAGAGAAATGCAAATTAAAACAACACTGAGATTCCAGAAAGAATGACTGTCATCAAGAAATTAAAGAATAACAAATGCTAGGGAGACTGGTGGAAAAGGAACCCTTCTTCATTTTTCATAAAAGTGTAAAGTAGTGTACTCACTATGGAAATCAGTATGAGATTTCACAGTTAAAGACATAATATTACAGTGACACATGCATAGTCATGTTTATAGCAGCACAATCCATAATAGCTAAATCTTGGAAGCAGCCTATATGTCCATCTAGATGACGCAATTTGGTTGGGGGGTGTTTGAGCTCAGGTCTTGCTATGCAGTCCAGTCTGGCCTTGAACTTACTATGTAGCCCAGGCTGGCCTCAAACTCACAGAGATCCTCCTGCCTCAGCCTTCCAAGTGCTGGAATTACAGGTGTCTACCACCATGACCAGCATTTAACAGATGAATGGCTAAAGAATATGTGGTACTTATGCACAATGGAGTATTATTCTGTCGTTAAAAAGGATAAACTTGAGTCTTTTGTAGGAAAACAAATGCACCTTGAGACTAACGGTAAGTGAAATAAATCAGATGATAAACTTATATATCACATGGTTTCTCTTATATGAAAAACCCAAACTACAAATAAAGAGCAAAATATAAGAGATAATAGGAAATAGTGAGATAGATATTTAGCATATGGAAAGGGAACCAAGAGACAGAGAGAGGAGAGAGGAAGGGGAGGAAATGAGATTAAAAATAAGGGAATTGTGATGTGTTGTGCACATGTACCAAGTCCCTATGAAGAACATGATCATTACGTACTACAAACATGTACAAAAAAATATATAGGAGAAAAGATCAAAGGGGGATGGAGGGGAAGGGATAAAAAAGAATTATTAAAATATGTCAGGTACATATAGCGACTGCCTATGCTAAATATAATCATTATGTACTATAAACATGTACTAATAGAAAAGAAACCAATAAAATAAAAGATCAGAAAGTGAAGCCAGAGTTGTGATTCTGCATGTTTATTCTTCCCCTTCAGCACAAGGGTCATCCCAACAAATGGCTTCAGCCAAGAGGTGGCACACAGGACTAGGCTGGGCAAGGGCCCCCAAGGACCCGACCTCCCCTCCTCCTCCTCCCATGGGCTTGGAAGTAGGACCGTGATCCAAGGTTGCCATCCCTGGGGAGGAGGAAGTAAGCCACTCTGCAGCTTCTGCTGTCCCCTACATCGACAGCCACATCTATGGGGACCAGCCACATCCATACCCCATGCTGGAGGGACCCAGGAGAGTAGCCCCAAGTCCCTCCACATATGTATGCACATGTGCATGGGGACCAAGTGGGGCAGGGAAGACCAGGTCAGTGTCCAGGCATGGGGCTCTGGCCTGTGGCCCAGTTGGCAAACAGAAAGCCCAGACTGATTGCCATGAAGAGAACCCCCAGGATGCCAAAACACAGGGAACGAAAGGAAGGAGGAAGAGGGAGGGGAGAGGCAGCTGCCTGGGACTCCCCACCCAAGCTCTCGTGAGAACACTCCATTCCTGACCTTCCTGCTTTCACCTTCCTTAAAGCCAGGCCCTTCCTGTGAGTCTTCTCCCTCAACCTCTTCTACCTTCCTTAATGCCAGACCCTTCCTATAAGGCTTCTCCTCCATCCTCCTTCAAAGTGTTCTTTCTTGCCTGCCTTCCCAACACTGCTCCTTTGATCTGCGTGGAGAATTCTCCCTCTATGTCAGCACTTTTTTTGAGGTACTGGTGATGGAACCCAGCCTCTCATATCCTGGACAAGTGCTCTACCACTGAGCCACACTCCAGCCGACCAACCCCTTCTAGAGCACATCCTCTGTCCTCGTCCTCTGCCCTCCCGAGCCCCACTTACCTGTCTCCTCGGCACCTTCCAAAGACAATCACCACCATTCTCTAGCACCATCCGCCCCCTTCCTGGATGCTCCCTCTCTCCAGGCCCCTCTTGAGCCGGCCTTCACTCTCCAGCCACCTGACAGTTCAGAGTGCTGCTTCTTTCCCCACCCTCCCCTGGGGAGCTCACCTGGATCTTGGGCCAGGAGCAGAGGGGCTCCACCTCAGAGGGGACAATGCGAAGCTAGAAGATGCTGGGAAGGATGAAGATAAGGCTGGGGGCAGAGATGGACCCTGGAATACAAGGAAGAACAAGAATCAACCTAAGTTTGGATGTGAGGCCCTTATTAGGTATGGCAGTGGTAGAAATTGGAGATATTGACCAATAACCCCAAAGATGTCCCGGATGTTCTGCACACAGATGACAAGGACATTGACCAACACCAGCAGGAGCAGGGCTATGACCACATGCCGTGGCCAGCTGAAGGCCTTCCTGGGGAAGAGCAGTTGCTGCAGGGCCCAGAGGATCTGTGGCCAGAGAAGGGCGGGACAGTGTCACAACTCAAGTGCTGCCCTCATCTGTGTGACTGTGTCTTTAACCCCAGCCTGTTTGAAATTCCTGATTTTCCCTCCCACTATCTATGGCTCTACCGCCTGACAACCCACGTCTCTTCCTTCTGTGTGATCATCTATTTGTGCTCCCACCTTGTCTAAAATCCTTGCATCCTCTCTCTGCCCATCTCTGTCTCTACCTCTCTGCCTGACCATCACCTGCGACTCCCTCCATCTGCCTCTCCCTCCCTCCTGTGGCAAATCATTCCCACCTCCCCAACTGGGCACCTTGTCCTTTCTTCATCTGACCACTTCTGCTTCCAGACTTTTTCTGTCCCTCTTTCTGCTTCATCTTGACTGACCATCTGTCTATGTTGCTCCCCTAACTGGCCTGTCCAACCTCTCCTGTCTGGCCGCCCATCTGTGCCTCTCCCTCCAAACGACTCCCCATCCCCCAACTCTCTCTGTCGTGCCACCCACATCCCCCTTCTGTCTGACCAAACTGTGCCTCCTCTGCCTGTCTGACAACTCTGCCTGTCCTCTCTGTCCATCCTTGCCTCCCCATCTGTCCATCTGCTCCTCTGTCCGTGCCCCATCTAAGTGCCCACACCCATGCCCTCCGACCCTCCAGCCCCGTTGCTCTGCTCCCTGGGCTCCCCTCTGCCCCCACACACAGGGAACAGCACGACAGGCACAGCAAGCGTCACCACGAGTAGCACCGCCAGGCGCACGCAGAGGATGAGCAGGTCCTTCTCTCTGTACATGTACAGCATCTCCTCCTTCACGCTGCCTGGGCCATGTGGCAAGGGACACAGAATGCAGAAGGTGACAAGAACACCAGGACCAGTGCCTCAGAAACCCACACCCACATCCACGGTGACTAAATCTATGCATGTGAGGTACCCTCCTTTTGCAAACAGGAAGATTCAAGATGATGGGGTCTCCATTGCTGCCACAGTGCCCCCCACAGCCCTAGCCACACTCACTGTAGGAAGTGAGGTATCCAAAGGTGGCTGTGAGCGTGTACATGCAGAATATGGCCCCAGTGGACACATTGGCCACGGCCTGCATCCTGCGCTGGGAAGGCCTGAGGGGTATAGGATGCCAAACTGCCATGCTTGGACCTCGGGATTTGGCCTAGTCCTCTCAAAACCAGCCCCACCCTCAAGAGTCCCATCCTCCTACACTAACATTCAGCTGGGGCATGGAGGTGTCCTGTCTCTGGTTCTCCTGCCTAATCAGCCAAGCCCGCCCGTGTCTGTGCGCCCAGGACTCACCCCATAGGAGCATCTCCACCTCTTCCTCCCATCTGGCCATCCATGCCGTCTCTCCATGTGATCCCCTGCACTTCCATCCATCGCATCCGCCCTGCCCTCCACCTTGTCCACTGACTACTCCTGCCTCCCTAGCTCCAGCCAGGCAGACGCCTTGCCATGATCAAGCGACCCCCACCTGCCCATTCGCATTTGTTCTGGAATTTCAAACAGTAGCGACTCAGGCCCCAGCCCATAAATAGTCAGTATCCTCAGTCCCCTGAAGTCTCCTGGCTCCCAAACCTGTCCCTCAACACAACCTATCTCCATCAAGCTACAGCCTCAGGGTGCTGCAGGGATGCTCAGACCTTATACCTCTCACTCCTCCCCTGGCTGGCACGTCACCTGCCCATGACCCCCCCCCACTTACCTGTGCACCTCTGTGTAGATGGGCAGCACATCAGGGTGGCAGACAAAGGCAAAGGCCATAATGGGCACCGTGTAGGCCATCTGGGGAATGGTCCAAGTACATGGGATTAGAGCCCACAGGGGACTTGGTGATCTCCTTCTTCTGTCCCCCTGGCCCCACCATCAGCCTCCACATGACAGCCTCCCAGGTCTGCTGAGCCCCCCATTAGCAGGCTAGAGTGTGAACAGGAACAGGGGTCTCCATGCAATGCCTGCTCCTACACGCCCACACACTCACCTGCGAGTCAACTGTGAACATCTGGGCCTCACAGGTATTGGTGAGGTCCAAGGACACAGTCTCCATTGCTGTCTCATTGCAGTGTAGACCACAGCAAATCTGGAACTTCTGATACATGACCTGGGAGTGGGGCAGCAGGGAGGCAAGGTCACTGGGGAAGCTATGTCCTAGTGTCCCAACCGCCCTCCCTTCTCTGACTTACTGAAATGAGGAAAAACAGCATGCAGATCAGAGAGAGGCTGCTGGTATACCCCAGATGGCCTACAGGGAGCAATACACAAAGCCTGAGAAGTCAAGGAGCCCCACAGCAAACCCTAAGCCCCTAGTCTGGCCTTCAAACCCCGCTCCCTTCAGTTACCTTTGCATAAGTTTTTTACTTCCACCTGGACCCGCCTCCCTTCCTTAAGGAACTCCTACAAATCTGTGAAAACTCACATCAAACAAACTCCCCCATGGTGTTCCACAGCCCTTGAAAACCAGTATTTTGTCCCTCCAGTTCCTACTCTGTAACCCCTCTACCCAATGACCAACCAAGACAGAACTTACCTAAGTGTTTCATGAGAAACAGGGACAGGATGATTAACACGCTGACCGTTATGATCAGGTGGTCTCCTTTCCCTAGGGAGACTGGAAGACACAATAACCAGCCACTGGCCAAAGAAAAGCATGAGGCTGACACACATGGGAGCCAGCCAGCTGGATTTCTGCTCCCCATCGGGGGAAGTGGGAAGACACCTCAAACTGTAAAGTTATTCAAGTCATTACAGTGACAAATGGCACAATAGGATTAACAGAAACAGACTGATGTATGAGTGATGGTATTTTTTTTTTTTTTTTGGTACCAGGAATTGAACTCAGGACCTTGTGCCTGCCAGGCAGGCACTTGTGCCACTGAGCTATATCCCTGGCCCCAGACTGATTTATGAGAACACTGGACCCCATCTAAAAAAGACAAGTATAGCCAGGAAAACTCACCATCAGACTTGCAAACAGACATACAATCAGACCAGAGATCCCAAATCAGTCAGATCGGATGTGAAAATCATCCCAACACAAGATGCCAAACACAAAGACAGTGGGTGATGATCCTCGTACGTGTGTCAAGTAGAACAACAGTCTGGTGGCAGACACACCACAATGCAGTCAGTCAGAACAGCAGAAACACACATGCATACTTTTTTGAACATCTCAAGGTCTGTTGGATGTCGGAAAGTGGCTGAGCTGATTTGGTCACACAGCCAAAGAAAGACTGACATAGAAACAGAGTCAGCCCGCTGGCCTTACTGTTGGAACCAGGCTCCAGGAAAGGGCATCTCTGGCTGGGTACAGTGTTGAACGCCTGTAATCTCAGCACTCAGGGAGCTGAGGCAAGCAGTCATGAGTTTGTTACATAGCGAGTTTCAGGGCAGCCTGGACGACATAGTACCTCCTGCCTCAAACAAACAAACAAACAAGAGGGTCTCCACAGATATTGGAGGGAGGTGCCCAAGCAAGACACAGTTAATACAGGATTGGCTGGATCTTCATTCAAAATAACTTTTGTTTTTCAGTACTGGGGGTTGAACCCAAGGCCTTTGCACTGAGCTACATCCTCAGCCCTTTATTTATTTCCTATTTTGAGACAAGGTCTTGTTAAGACTTGCAATCCTCCTGCCTTAGCCTCTCAGAGCACTGGGATCACAGCAGTGCTCCACCATGCCTGGCTCATTCAAAAGAACTTTATTTAGTACCTAGTGTGTTACAAGTATTCACATGTTCTCTATCTCATACACCACTAGACAGAAATATACCAACAAAGTGCCACTGGCCATAAATACAGTGGAAGTTAATTATCATAATTACACAGAACTTGGGCATAGGTGTAGCCCAGTGGTAGAGCACTTGTCTAGTATGCACAGCACTGAACACACAAAAGCAATTAGATGTGGGGCTGGGGATTTAGCTCAGCGGCAAAAGCGCCTGCCTGGCAAGCGCAAGGTCGTGAGTTCGGTTCCCGGTACCGGAGAAAAACCAAAAAACCAAAAAAAAAAAAAAAAAACAAAAAAAAAAGCAATTAGATGTACCTCATCAGACCTGGATGCTCTCAGAATCAAACCAACTAGCTAACAAGATATGCATAGATAATAAAAAGCAAAGCCAGACACGGTGGCACATACCTGTAATCCTAGCACTCTGGGAGGCTGAGGCAGGAGGATCAATAATTTGAGCTCAGCCTGGGCAACTTAGTGACTTAGTGAGAGCTTACCTTAAAATTTTAAAAAAGTTTTAAAAGGGCTGGGGATGTAGCTCAGCACAAAGGCCCTGGATTCTATCCCCAGTGGCACTAAATGTAAATAAATAAATGTAAATAAATAAATAAATGCAAGCTCTCAGTTTAACTTAACAGACACATGGACCGACTATCCCAGAGTCTGACTGACAAAACCAGATATGCACATACATACCAAGCAAAGTATGGGACCAGTAGCAGGGTCAGAGCTGGGAGTCAAAAACATGCAAAGGGGAGGAGCCTGGAGATGTAGCTCGGTGGTAAAACACTTGCCTGGCCTAAGAGGGGTCCCTGGGTTCCTTGATTCCTAGCACCACACACACACAAAAAAAACTCACACAAGATTTGGTGATATGGTGGCACACACCTGTAATCCCAACTGCTTGGGAGGCTAAAGCAGGCAGACCACAAGTTTAAGGACAGCCTGGGTAACTTAGAGAGACTGTTTCAAAAAACAGTGCCCATTGTACACAAATGGAGTCTCATAGTACACAAATAACCAAACAGATTCTGCCACCAGGATGCATCCAGCATCAAACAGTCAGAATAACCAAATACACATGGTTGCAGCCACAATACAGAGGACATATACAGGCATAATCAGGGATCACATGTACAGAGCCAGAGAAAATGTACAAGAACAAACAGCCACTAAGTCAAACACAGATGGAGCTGACTGGATGTAGAGCATGTCACAGACACAGCTGGCACTGCAGTATGACATGTGCACCCCACCACTGGAGTCAGAGATCATACATTTGGAGCTAGACAAGATCCGGCAGCCCCATGGACCCAGAATCTGACTCCCCCAATCAGCTGCACAGGGAAAGTAAGAGTGTCGGACTTCTCCAACTCTGTCCAGGGTGAGTTGGAACTAGGTGCCCACAGATGTATAAGAAAAGTAAGAAAAACATCAAACCACGAGAGCCAAAATTCTGTGGTCAGGTACTAGCAGCCTCTAGGATTGACTGCCCTCAAATACCAAATTCAGTCACCTTTTATTGAGCAAGAACCAAGGACTTGGCTAGGACAAATGGGTAGATACCAAACATATTACCAAGAATAATTAAAGGATCACCCAAGACACGCCTATAATCCCAGCATTCAGGAGGCTGAGACAGGAGGATCTTAAACTCAAGGTTAATCCAGAATGTATAATAAAGCCTCATCTTAAGAAACTCTAACAAACAAATCATTGTGCCCTCAAATGCATTCTAATCAAATAGTGTCCTTCTTCACATAACAGCAGCCAAGTGTCAGACACATATAGTTGAGGGCAGGTGTTGTGACACCATGCCTGTAATCCCAGCAGTTGGGAGGCCACCTTGGTTAGAGGTGGAGTATAGTCAAGGCCTCGCAGGCCAGCCAGGGGTATCATCCACTCTCCTCTCAGGTTCTTTGCTCAGGAAGGCACCGATAACCAGGGGGAGTTCGGATTCGATGATGAACAGGTAGCTGGACATGGCTGGTGTAGGTGGGTGAAAGTATAAGCAGAAGGGCTCCTCTTAGCCTCCTCCCCTGTCTGCCCCAGCTCAGCCTCGGGAAGCCTACCTCTTTCCACCCTTCCCCTCCGGTTAACCCCACTTCCCAGAATCCTCACCCCCAACATGTGCAGACAGATGATGGTGGCCACCACTACCTCCCCCACAGGCCCGAATGCCCTCTGTCCCAGCTGCTCATAGGCTCGGATGCCTGGGGGTGGGCAGAAAGGAATGAGGTGTGGGTGCAGGCTGGGCAGGGAAGGAGGGCCTTAAGGGGATTGGTTCTGACCATGGAGGCTGGAGGTGAGGGCTAGGCAGTTAGGGTTGAACTGGGGCATCAAGTCTGGGAGGTGGCAATTGAGACCAGGAAGAGGTTAGGGCCTGGAAGTGGAGTGTGGAAGTCTTATGACCACAGCAGGAGGGAGAGAAGCCTGGGATGTGGAGGTCTTGGGGCTTCGGGGCTGGCTTCCAGAGTAAAGGAGCTGGGGATTGAAGGGTACGGTTAGAGGTGGAGTACAGTCTCGGGTGGGGAGGACCTGAGTAACAGTGTCTGATAGCCAGACTAAGGGGTTGGCAATAGGGGACCTGGGAGCCCAGATAAAGTTTGAGGCCAAGGTTGAGTGTGGGATCTGGAGTTTGGGGAGTTGGGTGTGAGCTCTGGGGTCAAGGTGGTTATATCCAGAGTCTGAGGTTTGAGTTGAGATCTGGGGTCTAAGTTCAGGAACTGGGTCTGGGACTGGGGTCTAAGTTCAGGAACTGGGTCTGGGACTGGGGTCTACAGGGGATGGGGTAAAAACCGGGATCGGAGCTCTGGGTCTCACCTGCAACACTGGCGCAGGTGAGCAGGAGGTGGATGGAGTAGGAAGACAGCAGTGCGATGCACAGCAGCAGGGCCCTGGCCGAAGGTGCAGCTCAGCCTTGGCCCCAGCCTTCTCCCTCACCTCACCTTACCCCTGGCCCCTAGGGCTGCCTATAGACTCACAGGAAGAAGAGGGCTCCTGTGTGACCCATGGCATAGGCCAGCCCAGGATGCCACTGCCCATGATGGCATTGCTGAGGTTGAACACCGGCATTCCAAACGATGTCTTCCCCTCGAACTGAGGACAAGGGGCCAAATCCAGGCACACACGGGAAAGAAGCAGGTAAGGAGACTAGCGTTGGGGCCAGGGGAAGGCTGGATAGGGTTAGGGCAAATGGGGTGGGGAGTAGTTCGAGGTCTATGGGAAGAAGGAGAAAGCTGGATGGCAAAAAGAGTTGAAGATGGGAAGAAAGTAGGAAAGGGAGAGCTGGGAAGAGGAAAACCAGGAGAATCTGCAGAGAGCAGCTGAAAGTGGAGAGGAACAGGATGCAGGGAGTGTCCGGCCCACTGCTGACCATCTGAGGGCCGCTAGAGGAGGGAGAGTGGCTAGGGTCATGGAGCAGGAGCGGAGGGGAGCTGGGGAGGGAGTAGGGCATCTACCAGAAAAGAAGAGCCGGAGAAGAGGTAGGGAAGGAGACGCCTAGGCAGAGGAACAGCTGGAGAGGAATAGCTAGAAGTGGGCAGTAAGGGAGAGTAGGTGCGACCCAGACAGAGCCTATGAACTCATATCCATGAACTGGACTGGCTTCTCCCCAGGAGCTGGACCATGGCTGGACAGGAAGCCCTCAAGTTCCTGCCTGTAACTAGACAGGCTAAGGATATAGAGGCTGATGAGAAGGTGACCCTCCACTCCCTCCAGCCTGCCTCTTTGGAGCCCCCAACTCACTCCTCAGCACCCAAAGGGAGGGCTCCATTCACTTTTGGATCTTGCATTTCCATTTTGTGGGCAAAGAAATGGGGCAGGAGGGTCAGAGATGGGGGGCCTACAAAGTGAAGAGAACCAGATGAAAGGGATCACACGCAGACAGATAAAAAAGCAGCAAACAGGCAGGTGAGATGAACAGGGACAGAGAGCGATGAGAGAGGCAAAGGGATAACTGGAGAGAGACAAGCGTGAGAGAAAGAGATAGGCAAGACAAGACTCAGAAGAGAAATGCCAACAGTAGCTCAGAGAGACATGGAGAAAAGAAGGCAGCAAGAGATAAATGGAGGGAGAGAGGGAGAGACAGCAAGATACAAGGGAGACCAACCTCACAGCAGATGAGACGGCCCGTTCAAAGCAAGATCACCTCTCCTCCCAGACCCCAGACTCACTCTGTCCCCTCCCTGGCACCGTCTCTGTCCTTCCCCATTCCAGCTCCCCCATAACCCTCCCCATCCCTCCCCCTTATCCTGTGGCCAGCCAGCTCACTACTAACTGGGACATGTGTCGTCCATTGCCTCATCCCTCCTACTGCACCCCCCACCCCTGCTCTTCCCCGCCTGGGCCCAGGAGCCCGGAGCTGCTGCAACCTGACGGAAGGCGGGGCGGGCACAGGCTCCACAACCCCGGCCTCAGATGCTGCATACTGCTTTTGGACTGCTTTCTGGAGGCAGAAGAGAACCCAACGCCCCTCTTCCAGGTACAGAAATGACGCTGGGAGGCTGGGTGTGTCACTAGGTGATGCAGCACTTCCTAGTAGGCAAGAGGTCCTGGGTTTGGTTCCTAGCACCACCAAAAAAGAAAGTGACCCAGGGACCTCCCGGTTAAGGTTAGGCCCCTTCTAGGCCCTAGAGGTATTTTTAGGACCCCCACCAAGTTGTTTGGTTTGGTTTGGTTTTTCTCCGGTACCAGGAACCGAACTCACGACCTTGCGCTTGCCAGGCAGGCGCTTTGCCGCTGAGCTAAATCCCCAGCCCGGCCCCCCACCAAGTTTTAAATACTTTCATAGCCAGGTGTGGTGCGGCATGCCAGTAAACCCAGCACTTAGGGGACTGAGGGCAGCTGAGCTACACAGCAAGAGCCTGTCAAAAAACAAAACAACAACAACAAGCCTCAACCAAACAAAAACTCCTCTTCTGGCAGAACTACTTTTGGAGGTACTTCCAGTCTTGGAACCCTCCCTGGCCTGTAGTGTTTCAGGAGCCTGATGGAGCATGATCTAGGCTTTTTGCTCTAGAAGGCTGTCTCTGTGTGCAGGTGCCTCTTCCCAGGGAGCCACGTGCTTCCTTGTGGAGGTGTCTCTGCAAACCCCATCCCAGCTGGGACCTTCTGTCTGCAGAATGGGGAGTCTAGAAGGAATTTCCAGCCCACGGCTCACTTCCTGGAAACGAGGTGACTGAAAACCCGCCATGCAAGGTCCCCGCCAGAGCTAAAACTGGCTCCCGAAATCCCCTCCTCAAGTCCTGAATCTCCTTTCTGGCACGGGGAGGGGTCGCATGCTGCTGCCTCCACAGCTACGAGCACCCTCTGGGAACTTCCACCACTGCTGATTCACTTCCTGGAACCAAGGTACCAAAAAGACATCCTTCCTCCATTCAATTTCTAACTATACAAATGTTTCGAGGGAAACTCCTGAACCCGCTTCTGAGAGCCTCCCATACTCGTACTTCAGTGTCCCCAGGGCTACCATCCCCACAGCTCGCGCCCCCTCCTCACCTACTTGCTGCTCTCAGCTCCAGAAACATTAGCAACCCAACTTGGGCTCAGGGACTCCCACCCGGTTCAGCTCCCGCTCTCGCAGAGTTCAGCCCCTGCCCCGCCCTTCAGCCAATCTGCTCCGCCTGCACCTGTTCCACAGCCAATCAGCGTTGCGTGCGCTTGCTCTTTGGCTAATCCTCACAGGCAGCAGATAGTTTCTTCCCTAAGAAGAGCTAATTTTATTTTTTTATTTTTTGGTACTGGAAATCAAACTCAGGACCTTGCGCTCGCCAGGCAGAAGTTTGTGTCCATGAGCTATATCCCCGCCAGAAGTGCTAATTTTGAGTTTCCCTTCTTCTGGCCCTAGGCAGGAAAGTGGGGAGGAGTGCCCACATCTGGACCCACTTGGAAAGATACAAAAGTTAGTGTTTGTCTTGGTGGTGGGGAGATGGGCTGAAAGACTGAAGGTGTAGATTCACATCTAGAGAGAGGGACTGGGAGAAAAAGGAAACAGACTTCAGAGATCAGACCTCGGACAAGGAACGGAGAGGAGGAGACAGAAAAAAGGAACCTGCACAAACAGGAGCCGTAGCACACGATGTGAAAGCTCACTGACGGGGCGGGGGGCGGGGGGCGCTGGGGATTTAGCTCAGCGGCACAGCGCCTGCCTGGCAAGCGCAAAGTCGTGAGTTCGATTCCTGGTACCAGAAAAAAACAACACCAAAAAAAAAAAAAAAAAAAAAAAAAAAAAAAAAAAAAAAAAAAAAAAAAAACCTCACTGACGGGACAGAACCATAAATGGGCTTGGAGGAGAGGATGAGACGGCATTAACAGGGAGAAGGTGCCACAGAGACAGAGGGACAGATGCCTGCAGGCACTGGAGAAAGGCACCAGACAACAGGTCCAGTAATAAAACAGAGACACGGGTTGGCAAATAGGTGCATACAGCCAGGCCCATCAGCAAACAGGTCTGGGCCAGACACTGCCCAGAGACTGAGGGCACTATTAAGACAGGTACCTAGAAGAAGACAGCAGTCTAAGTCAGATTTGGGCAGAGAGGTAGACAGGTGGATGGGCAGGTGCAGAGTTAGATATAGCCAGGTCATTCTAGACAGACCTAGGGCAGGGAAGGTGGAGGAATGGACACACAATGTCTGTAAACTGAGTGTATCCCTGAGTCCTTGACCCCAGCCAGGCAAGGGGTGAGGCCTCCGTACACACTAACAGAGGAACCCCACTGCCTATCTGTCAGCCTGCTCAGGGGGATCCCCCCCAAGGGAGATTTTCACAGGTGAGTTCCGAAGGTTAAAGAACACATGTGTGTAAAACATCAGCAGGCAGCATGGAGCAGAGCAGAGTGCAAGAGCGATAGTGCAAGAGAGCACCTGCATCTTTATTGTATAATTCTTATAAAGGCTGTTATCTCATATTTATGTTCTTGTATAGTGCTGTAACCAGTGCATTCGTGTTTACCTGTGCTAAGTCATGGTTTCATAACTGTATCCCACTGTACACATGTGCTAGACAAGCAGGGTGATGTCCTCAGGTGTCCTTAGACACCCCCGAGCTTTGAAGCAGTCTGAGTAGTTCCCCACACTATCTTACTATCAGTCACTTTTGGAGGAGGGGATGTGACAGAATCTTACTATACTCTTTAGTCTGGCCTTGAACTCACTATAAAGCCCAGGCTAACCTCTAACTCGCAGCAGTCCTCTTGCCTCAGCCTCCTGAGTGCTGGGATTACAGGTGCTCAACACCACGCCTGGCTCACTGTCTTATATGGAGGTCTGTCTATTCATTCCCATCCATGCACAAGGGGAGAAGCACCAAGCTGTTGGAGTGGTAAGCAGCAGAGAAAGAGTCTCTTTGAGTGTTGCTGTCCAGACGCTGGAATATAGCAATGTGAGGAAGACAAAAAGGAGGGAAGTGGACACCCTGGACCTAGGAAGGATCTGAAGTTCAAAATAAAGTGCACAGAGAGAGTGAAGAGAGCAACTTTAATGAAGAAGGAGGTAACCAGCGGTGCCTTCTCTCTGAGACAGGACTCATTGCATCAGAGGAGCAATTCAAACCTACAGACACACGGTGACTGCTGGGGACCCCAGAGGCCTCCACAAACAGGCACAGCAGTGGAGGCAAGCTGCGGACATGAAGGACTGCACTAGCTGGCAGTGAGTGCTGAGGGGTCAGTCATCCCGCGCGAGAGAGTGACTGACCAGGAGCCATCTTGGAAAGGGGCCAACTGAGCTCAGGACTCAGAGCAGCTTCAGGCTCCATTTAGCAGCTCCCGGCTGGGCTCAGGCCCACGGAAGGTGCACTGATGGCAACAGGCAGAATGAGTCTGGTCTTAGCCAGGCTCCCTGAGATTATCTACTACCCCACCAAAAAAGCTACTGCTGGCTAGCTGGGATAGATCAACATGGATCAGGACTCCACACTTTGTCTACCCATGGCAGCAGAGACATACCTAGAAGTACCTAGAAGTAGGCTTTCTCTCTCTC